CTGAGCAGGAAGCCCGATGCGGGGCTCGATCCCAGGATCCTGGGATCATGACCTGAGCCGAAGGCAGAGGCTTAACCGACTGAGCCACCCAGGTGCCCCGACACAGTGTGTTTTTTGTTTTTGTTTTATTTATTTATTTATTTATTTTAGACACAGTGTGTTTTTATACTTAGAATTTTTATTTTTTATTTACTGAAAGAGCCCTTTTTTATACTTCTTGATATTTAGATACAGGATTTAAAAAACTATTTGTTACTTATGTTGTGTGTGTGTGTTATAATATATATATTTTATATATATAAAAGCAAAAGTAAAACGTATTAGTGAATATGTTTCTAAAACTTAATCATATCATCAGTTATAAAACATATTTTAATTTCAGAGATGTTAAAATACAGAATGTGTGACCTGGATTCAGTGACACGAAGTATATCTTGGGTGTGGAGGGGAGACTGGAATGGGGTTTTAGGTTTGGCCATTATCAGTATATGAAGTGGAAGCGAAGATTACGCAGGGAGGGGGAAAGTAAGGCAGAGGAGATCGAAGAGTGGAACTCTGAGAAACAGCGTTTTCTGGAGTGAGCCAGGTTCCAAGGAGGAAATTTGAAAAGGAGTGACTTGGGAAGTAGAAAAGAACCCAGAGACTGTTTTATCTAGAAAACAACAGGATGAAGGGATTTCGGTAAGGCAGAGGTGGTTAATAGTGGCAGAAATGCCAAACAGGAAGGAAGGGGGGTGTGTGTTCATTTCAAAGCTTGGGAGGAAAATTAATAGCACTTTCTATAATTGTTTGACGAGAAAGTGTGATATTTACTTTCTTTGCTTTAATTTTGAATGATTTTATATGTCAGTTGAGGCAAATGATACTGAATTATTCTGTATGTCTTCAGTTTTGTTAATGCTAAATTTAAAATGTTATTGTTCATTTGTGGGAAAGAAGAAACCAAGGAGTAGAGTAAATTAACATTTTTACCTATTATCTGTCTTTCATTTTTTTATGAGAATAATCTGAAAGTGCTTAAAGATTCTTTGCTCAGTCTATTTCATTTTACTAATGAGAGAAGTGACCCAGGAGGGGTGTCTGGGTGGCTCAGTCGGTTAAGCGTCTGCTTTCGGCTCAGGTCGTAATCCCAGGGTCCTGGGACGAGCCCCATGTCGGGCTCCCCGCTGAGCGAAGAGACTGCTTCTCCCTCTCCCTCTGCCTTCTGCTCTGCCTACTTGTGCTCTATCTTTCTGTCAAATAAATAAACTCTTAAAAAAAAAAAAAAAGTGACCCAGGAAACTTACGCGGTCTGCTCCAAGTTAGTAAGTTCAGTTCACGGCGGAGGCAGGGATGGGATGTGTTGTGTTTTTGTTTTTAAGATATTTATTTATTTATTTATTTATTTGTTTGTTTGTTTGACAGAGACAAAGACAGTGAGAGAGAGAACACGAGCAGGGGGAGTGGGAGAGGGAGAAGCAGGCCTCCCGCTGAGCAGGGAGCCCGATGTGGGGCTTGATCCCAGGACCCTGGGATCATGACCTGAGCTGAAGGCAGGCGCTTAACCGACTGAGCCACTCAGGTGCCTGGATGTGTTTTCTAAATCATGTTTCTGTCAGGTCTGCTGTGCTGCTTTTCCCTTCTTAAGTCAAAGGTGATTAACTTGTGGTGATTTCGGATAACTGCACTTTTAGTGTAGAGAAGTGGCTTGTTTTAGATTTGTAGTGGAGAATATTAGAGAGCATAGCAAGTATAATAAAGCAGGGAAAATGGATAAAATCTTTTTGGAAATTTAGAGAGAAATGTATATATTTTGAATCTTTTAATTTTCAGCATATGGTTATGATTTTTTTCTCCAGTAACAGCCTGAAAAATAAGTATATGTGAATATCAGTTTTATTGAAGATATTGAGAGTAGCTTCATGTTTTAGAGTTAACACAATGATCTGTTTATTTCTTTTTAATAGAAAAAATGAATGCACCAAACCAGCCTCCCCACAAAGACACTGGGAAAACTGTGGAGAATGTGGAAGAATACAGCTATAAGCAGGAGAAGAAGATCCGAGCAGCTCTTAGGACAACAGAGCGTGATCATAAGAAAAATGTGCAGTGCTCGTTCATGTTGGACTCAGTGGGTGGGTCTTTGCCCAAAAAATCAATTCCAGATGTGGATCTTAATAAGCCTTACCTCAGTCTTGGCTGCAGCAACGCTAAGCTTCCGGTGTCCGTGCCCATGCCTATAGCCAGAACTGCACGCCAGACTTCTAGGACTGACTGTCCAGCAGATCGCTTAAAGTTTTTTGAGACTTTACGACTTCTGCTAAAGCTTACCTCAGTCTCCAAGAAGAAGGACAGGGAGCAAAGAGGACAGGAAAATACGTCTGCTTTCTGGTTTAACCGATCTAATGAACTGATCTGGTTAGAGCTACAAGCCTGGCATGCAGGACGGACCATTAATGACCAGGACCTCTTTTTATATACAGCCCGTCAAGCCATCCCAGATATTATCAACGAAATCCTTACTTTCAAAGTTAATTATGGGAGCTTTGCCTTTGTTAGAAATGGAGCTAGTTTTAATGGTACTTCAGTAGAAGGGCAGTGCAGAGCCCCTCATGGAACAAATATGGTGGGTTATTCAGCGTATCATGAGCATCTCCAACGCCAGAGGGTGTCGTTTGAGCAGGTAAAGCGGATAATGGAGTTGCTGGAGTACATAGAAGCACTTTATCCATCGTTGCAGGCTCTTCAGAAGGACTATGAAAAATATGCTGCAAAAGACTTCCAGGACAGGGTGCAGGCGCTCTGTTTGTGGTTAAACATCACAAAGGACTTAAATCAGAAGTTAAGGATTATGGGCACTGTTTTGGGCATCAAGAATTTATCAGACATTGGCTGGCCAGTGTTTGAAATCCCTTCTCCTCGATCATCCAAAGGCAATGAGCCAGAAGATGAGGGTGATGACACAGAAGGGGACTTGAAAGAGCTGGAAAGTAGCGCGGATGAGAGTGAGGAAGAACAGCTCTCAGGTCCAAGGGCACTGGAACCCACAGAGCCCACTGACAGCAGTTTCAACGTCCATTCGCAGGATTGCGTGCCTAAGAAGCTTGAGAGGCTTGAGTCTGAGGACGACCCTGTTGGCTGGGGAGCACCAGACTGCAGTACAGAAGCAGGCTTTAGTAGACATTGTCTGACTTCTATTTATAGACCATTTGTAGACAAAGCACTGAAGCAAATGGGGTTAAGAAAGTTAATTTTAAGACTTCACAAGCTGATGGATGGTTCCTTGCAGAGGGCACGCGTAGCCCTGGTAAAGAGTGACCGTCCAGTGGAGGTAGGTTTCTGGTAGGCGTTAGTATGGTCTTGTCCTCAGTTCCATTCTTACAGTGTGCTGTGGTGGTTATTACGTCCTTTCGTAGTTTTGATATTTTTAAGGTGTAACTGGTAGTTACTGTAACTTGCAGATTTAAACATTTCTGTAAAGCACTGTGATAAATGTGGAAATGGATCTACGAAAACTATATGAAGTTTAGTGAATTAAGTGGAAGGTGGTGTGTGGAGGAAAAAAATCCAGCCATATAAATATAGGATGGAGAAGGACAGGCTAGGTATAAATAAAGAGGGAAGAAAGCCACAATCATGGGTGACCACAGGCTGAATATGAGTCAGTAAAAAAGCCAACATGATGCTAAAATATTTTTAAATGAATATGGCATCCAAGGTCATGGATACGGTTCTTTCTCTATTCTTTGCAATAGCTTGTTCCCTTTTTGAGTAGCATGTCCAGTTTTTGGCCACTGTATTTTAAACCAATAAAAACAGATACTACACATGATTTTAGCCAAAAGAGCTGTGAGTTGTAGAGAAATGTAAGAATGTAAGAATGATCAAATGATCTTATTTGGCAAAGTTAACGATTAGCATAGATGATAGAAGTTTAAGGAAAGTCTTAGTTATCAAATCCACATTTTGATATGTGAAGATTTCTGTGAGAGGAGTATGCCTCCTAGAAAAAGCAGTTTGAAAACAGTGCAAATTTTGTTTTGATAGCTTCATGTCTCAGAAATTCTTTACTGTTAAGGGTGGTCAAACTAGAAAGGGGCACACTGTTGGATAGCATTTTTGAGAGGAAGAAGAGCAATTTTTCTCTTGTGGTGAGTTTGCATGTTCATCTGGCTAAAAGCAAAAGCACCCAGATCTTTGAGTTCCTTTATACCTGTCTCTGGTTGTCATTTTCAATTTTAGTAGCTATTTACATACATACATGTGTACCTTTTATTTTTATTTTTTTAATTTCAGTTTACTGCACAGTCTGGCTGGCTTTGGAGTGAGAGGTGATACAATCGAAGGCATTTTCTTTATAATGGGAAACATTGGAAGAGAACCTCAGTTTATAAGATCTTTATTTTTCATGAACTAGACCATGAACCCTAGGAGAGTGGGTCAGACGTTCACATCATATAGAAAGATGTTTGCAAAAGGAATCTGGACTTTGTAGCTATAAGAAGTTAGTTTACTTTGAGTATTATTTTAATTACAAGTCTTAAAAGTGAATTTATATATGAGATCCTGTTTTTTTTCCTTAAGATTTTTTTATTTACTTGAGAGAGAGAAAGAGAGCACATGAGCAGGGGGGAGGGGCAGAGGCAGAGAGAGAAGCAGACTCCCTGCTGATCAGGGTGCCCGATTCAGGATTTGTTCCCAGGACCCTGGGATCAATGAGATCTTCTTTGAACAGTATTTTGACTCTGAATGATTTTTTATGTACATCTTTTTATTAAAGCAAATGACTGTTTTCCCCTGTTTAGTCCAAAATAACTACTTTATACGATTTTTTTTATAGTGCAGGTTTCAAAATCAGTAGAACAAAACTAGATACGGAATAAGGATCTGCCATATACTTCAGATGGTGAATGACTTACTTTGATCTAGGTTTTTGGCTGGAGTGGTTCAGTTCCAGTGAGCACACCTGTGGGCAAGACAGGGTCGATGATTGATTTTTATTGTGAAACACTATTTTTGAAGTAATATGAATGAAACAGCTCTGGCGGTATTACCTCATCTCTGATTCAGTAGATCTCATGAGAGAGAGGGACTCATGGTAAAGGCCCTGGGAGGCATGTGGGGGCTTCTTAAAACTGCTTTAAACTCCCAACCCCAAATTCTTTTCCTGTTCCCTGAGAACCATTTGTGACAATGAACTGTCCCTACTAATGGTAGAGCTCTGCGTCCCTTAGATGTGTTGGAACAAGAAAAAGATTGGGAATGAGTGCACTACATTTTCTGTTAGAACTCAAGTTGAAAACAGATGATGAACTATGGTAGCCCATAGTTTTGAATTCCTGTCAATGTTGTATTCCTTCGGTTTGACCAGTTGAGATTTAACTGCAACGGTTATCCTTATAGAAAAGAAGAGTCATACAAATTCAAAGCTTATAAAGTGTGTAAATTAAAGACTGTTAGAATTACTTGCAGATTGTTTGCTTTTCAAAACAAAAATGAAGTACAGAAGCCCCTGTTTTAAGTTTTGTTTTATAAAATGTTGTGTTTGTCAGATAACAAAAGAGTAACCAAGAGCTGAAGTAGAATTTCAGTCCAAACTAATAAAAGATGAGGTTTCAACATTATAATGAACTCAGTGGGAAAGTAAGACTTATTTTCATTTCCATTTCAGGAACATAATTTCTGGAAGGGGAGGTGTATGTGTGTGTATGTATATGAATGTATGTAGACTTCCTTCTGGGTTTGTTTTAGTCTTTGACTAAGTATGTTGGAGAAAGAGCCACAGTTTTTGAAATCAAGTAACTGGATTCCATTCCTTGGTGTGGGTCTTTCTCACCACATGGCTTTGTAAATGACTTAATCTTTCTGATCCTAAATCATCGCATCTGTAAAATGGCTATAATACTTTCCTACCTACCTCACAGGGTTGTTGTGAGGCTTTAAGAAGATATTTGTATAAATGGTAAAATACTATAGAAGCCAAATATAAACTATTAATTTTTAGAAGCTTTGTTAATTTTTTTTTCTTTTGAAGCTAACTGTAAGTCAATATGGGCCAGACTATTCTATATGTTTATCTTTAAAATGTATTTAACCTTTTAATTTCTGCCAAATACTCCTGCATTTGAAGGACATACGTTTTAAGCAGTGTATAGGCTTTAGATTTAAAGACAGTTTTATTTTCATTCTTGATAGAAGCGTCTTGACCAGTGGGCACCACAGAATGTACCCAATACATATCTTCTGTGTTGCACTGTTTTTTTGGCTTATGTGGTAACACTAATGAATATAGTTGAAGGATTTCTTGTCTATATCTTTATATTTTTATGCTTTATGATTAAGTTACTTGTGATTAGTGTTTATAAATAACATATGATCTTATATTTAATTCCCCTTGGCTTATAAACATGCTTTTATAAAGCAGTTTTTCTCTAAAATTTTATTATATTTTAAAATCTTTAAATTTAAGAACTTGTAATCTTGGGATGATTCTAGATTTATGGAAAACTTGCAAAGATAGTACAGTTTTCATATGTTGCTTATGCAGCTTCCTCTAATACTGGCATCTTACTTTACTTTGCTATATTTGTCAAAATTAGTATATTAACATTGGTGTAAGATACTGTTAACTAAACTGTGGACATTATTTGGATTTCTGTTTTTGTGCTACTGTCCCCTTTCTGTTCCAGGACCCAGTCAAGGACGCCACCTTGCTCTTAGTCGTGTCTTCTCAGTCTCCTCTGATCTGTGTAGTTGCTCAGTCTTCTCTTGGTTTGCGATCTGGACGGCTTGTAGAACAGTCTCTGAATTTGGATTTGTCCGGTGTTTTATCAAGATGAGACTGGGGGCTTGGGCTGGGCAGAAATGCCACAGAGTTGAAGCGCTCCCCATGGCATTGTATTGTCCCTGGTGATGTTAACCTGGGTTCCTCGGTGAAGGTGTTGTCTGTGGGGTTCCTCCACAAGTTAGCAGTTTTCCCTTTCCCTGCTGTACTCTTGGATGTGAGTTACTAGATGCAGCCCACATTCATGGGGAGGGCTGTAGGAGCCCACCTCTAGGAGTAGGGAGTATCTACATGTAGTATTTGGAATTCTTCTGTATGAAAGATTTACTTCTTCCCTCCCATTTATTTATCTCAGTGGGAAGTCATAAATATTTATTTTTTCTTTGGGTTATAATCCAGTAGTATTGTTCTTTCTTTTGTTGCTCATATTGTTCCTTCTTTAGCCACTGTAACTCTTCCAGTTGGCTTCTGTGTCCTTTTGACATGCCTGCATCTTTTTTTGTATTGTTTTGCTTTTTGAGCAGTTTCTTACTCTGTGGCATCATCCTTTATTTTTCCTGTTGCACTCCTGAAATCAGCCATTTCCCCGAGGAGCTCTGGTTCGTTTTATTGGAGGATGTTATTTAGAAATGAAGATCTGGGCACTGGATGTTACTGTTGGGGTGTTATTGCTTCCAGGACCATTCAGTGGTAGAGTTAGAAAATATAGAAAAGTCTTCCACCCATTGTGTATGCACAGCTCGATAGTTACTTCTCCTTGCTTACCCATCTGTCTCTCTGTGAGAAATAAACATGAGTTCACACTGATGTCTCAGGCCTAAGCCAGCATCACCAATTTCATCCTAGTCTTCCTCTCCTGCTTATTTGTAATTTTTTCTCTTGTGGTGAGAAACCTGGCTCCCATTACTACAGTTATTTACATATTTGTGCAGCCAGAGTATACACGTAAAGTAGTTTCAGAATTGCTAACCGGGACCCCGTGAGGAATAAATTTGCCAACTAGAGTATAGCATTTCAGTACAGTTCTTTTTATCTTTAGTCTTAGAGAGTCACCACAGAATTTTCCAGAGTTAGCTAGGTCAGCACCTTTTTCCTTTACCCTCTTCAATGAGGTCGTATCATTCATTTGTAATATAGTGGTTCACTTAATCTCAGTCTGCATTCCGTCCTGGGATTCCCCAGTGTTCTAGTTGATTTTTTTAAGTTTGCCATAAAGTTTACTTTTTGTGTTGTACAGTCCTTTGGGTTTTGTGCACTTAAAATGTTAAATACCCATAAAATATTTGAGCCATAGGTTGTGATATGGTGATTTTATGCTCCTTCCTTTTAGCTTTACCGTATGAAATTTATACATTTTCAGAAGAAGAGACAGATAAAATTTTTACTTAATGTAGTATATAAAAAAGTATAGTTGCCTGACTGATTGCATGTTACCATGCATATTACCTCAGATCCTAAGGAAGAGTTTTGGTTATTTTATAAATTACTTTCCTTTGAATTAGAAATGATGATGTGATTATTATAAGTTTAATGGCCAATAAAATATT